GAGACTCCTTTGGGTAGTGAAGGGTGGGGTATAAATCCAATCTCTTCTTCTCTCTCAGCCCCACCTACCTCACAGGGTGTCTGTTGTGAGGAGGGGAAGGGAAAGGAGTTTGCAAGCCGCTCTGAGACTCCCTTGGGTAGTGAAGGGCGGGGTATAAATCCAATCTCTTCTTCTCTCTTCTTCTTCACAGGGTTATGTAGAAGGTAACATGGGAGAGAGCGATGTTGGAAGCCACTTTGGGTCCATACTAGGGAGACGAGCGAGGTATAATGATCTAAATAAATGAATAAATGGTGAGAAGAGCTTTGGCTCAATGGCGGACCATGTGCGCTGTATGCAGAAGATCCTGAGTTCAGTCCCTACCGTTGCCCCTTAAAGATTTTGAGTTACAGCCCTGTCCTGGATAGCCCAGGCAAGCCCGATCTCGTCAGATCTCGGAAGCTAAGCAGGGCCGACCCTGGCAAGTACTTGGACGGGAGCCCTCCAAAGAATACCAGGGCCGGGAGGCAGAGGCAGGCGATCAAGCCACTTCTCTGAACGTACTCCATGCCCCAGTAGGAGTCGCCAGAGGTCGCCATGACTTCCAGGCACGGGCGCACACGCACGCACAATGCAAAAATACACACCAAAAAAAGATCTTGAGTTACAAAGGCTGGGAAAGATCCATTTCTTCCTTGAGAACAGATGGCCATCAAAGTGTGGAGGGAGATCACAGAACAAGAGAGAAAAATGGTATTTAGAGAACATCCAGGGAAACTGGGTGGTTTCTACTTCAGAACGGGGACATGGCCAGGCAGGGGCTCTTGCTTCTCCCCCTGAATTTTCACTCCTCCTCCTGGAGACCTTATGAGAAGGGAGGTTTAAAGCCTTAACACTTAGCCCAGTCTGTGTTTGGCTTGGGCAATGTCTTGCGCATGACCCAGATACACATTTTATTGCCCAAGTGGAAAGAGTAAACAAGAGGCAATGACAGGGCAGGCGAGGAGCTCCTTATTTACATTGCAACGCTACCTGGAAATCCTTTCCAAGGTTACAAGGATCCATTATTGTATTAGGCAATGACTCTGTGGACTGCTATTGCATGGCATCAGGTGAAGAGATAAACCATATCTAGGGACGGCTCATAAGCCCAAGAGGCTTATTGAACGGGCGCTGATGGGCCATTGATGAAGTCAGGGCCGGCTCGAGCTGTTTCTGCGCCCTAGGCAAGGCTGCCTTATGGTGCAGATGCCAACCTCCCGGTGGGGCCTGGACCCCTGGAGACCCCTGGAGCCAGCCACCCTTTTGCTGCTGCCACCACCGCCTCCTCCCCCCGCCGCCACCACAAAAGGGGGGGAGAAGGGGGGCTAGGGTTGCCAAATATTTTTGGCCGGGAGCGGGGGGCTCTCGGCTGGCGTCTGGAATGTGTGCGCGCGCTAGCGTGCCGCATCACCCGGAAGTGACATCGCACGCTGGGGGCGGGGCCACGCCATTTGAGGGGAAAACAAAGAGTTCCCCCCTCAAATGGTGTGGCCCCGCCCCCAGCGTGCGACATCACTTCCGGGTGATGCGCACGCGGGGGTGGGGTTTCCCCCGGGAGCGGAAAGCGGGGCTCTAAAGCGGGGGGAAATCCGCCCCCCCGGGGGCATTTGGCAGCCCTAGCCCAGGAGGCACACCTAGTGGGTGAGCCAGCCCTGGATGAAGTTAAGTACTGGCCTAGGTACAGGCACACCCCGCTTGCTTGGGTAGTAGTTGGAGAGAAATGTTTTGGAGATGGAATGCAGCTAGCGAGGATTTTGGGGGTAGTAACTTGCAAGAAGTAGTCTGCTGGGGAAAACATGTTGTTTGCTTTGGGTGGGGGAGATGCCACTCCACTCCTGTGGGCCATGCCACAACTATGCTGCTTGCTCTGAATCAGAGATTCTTCCAGTTTGGTGTAGTGGTTAAGTGTGCGGAGTCTAATCTGGGAGAACCGGGTTTGATTCCCCACTCCTCCACTTGCACCTGCTGGATGACCTTGGGAAAGCCGTAGTTCTGATAAAAGCTGTCCTTGAAAAAAGAGCAGTTTCTGTCAAGAGCTCTCTCAGCCCCACCTACCTCACAGGGTGTCTGTTGTGGGGAGGGGAAGGAGTTTGCAAGCCACTCTGACTCCCTTGGGTAGTGAAGGGCGGGGTATAAATCCAATCTCTTATTTTTCTTCTTCTTCTTCATGCCCCATGTCACTCCAAAGCCAAGGTGAACACAGATTAGGGTTTCCAGGTCTCTTCTTACCTGTGGCAGGGGGCTCCCAGCTTCTCATTGGGGTCTCCCGGCTCCTTGTCCTCATCATTACACAAGGGCCGTCACACGGTAACATTCTACTGTTCAGGGCAAAAACTCTATGGCAGAGGTGTCAAACTCATTTCTTATAAGGGCCGTATCTGACAGAAATGTCACTTTGTCGGGCTGGGCCATGTATATGTAAACTTTATAAAGGACACAGGCAAAGCAAATTAACTATATTATTTTTAAGTCTAAATACAAACATGCTTTAAATATAAGAGCAAAAGCATTGCCTTGCTTTAAATCTACCTTAAATATAAGAGCAAAAGCAGAGCCTTGCTTTAAATATACTTTAAATATAAGAGCAAAAGCAGAGCCTCGCGGGATCAGACCAGTGGTCCATCTAGTCCAGCATCCTGTCTCACACCGTGGCCAATCAGTTCCTCTGAGTCTGCACAATATTTCAAATGAGACCGCCCCATAGATCTATCAAAGGGCATTACAATATCAGCTGTTTCATTCTCAATCCCTTTCCTAATCATCCCTAACTTAAGAGTTTGCCTTCCCCCCCCTGCAGAAACGCACTGAGTTAGAACATAAGAGAAGCTAGGAGAAGCCCATCCAGTCCAACACTCTGTGTCACATGGTGGCCAAAGCCCAGTTGCCCTCAGGAGGTCCACCAGCAGGGCCAGAACTTCAAAAGCCCTCCCACTGTTGCCCTCCAAGCCCCAAGAATACGGAGCATCACCCTGGGGGAAATGGCTAATTTGGAGAGAAGATTTCCTTGCAAGACCACCACCACCACCCCGCCCAAATCTCCAGGAAGTTCCCAATGGGCTTGGGGTCCCTAGTTAGAGCACCCATAAAATAGCCAGAGGGAGGCAGGCTCTGTTGGAAAAATTGGCAAAAATACATAGATATTCAGAGTTTGCAATGGATCTTTGTTTCACTGGAGAGGAAGCATTTCTTTCTATGTAAAAATCTTTATTTCTAAGGGAAGGGTACACGGGAAAATCTGCAAAATAACAAAGACCTAAGGCTACATCTCTACGGCTACAGAACAGACTGACCGCACTGTCTCACAACAACAACTGTAACGGCAACAATGGAGATTCTTCTTCTTCTTGACCCCTAGAAGGAAATCACCTAAATACATTAACCAATGATTGTGAGTAAACAGACATAGATTTCCCGGGCTCTCTTCCCATTGGCTCTGTGCCAGCTTTCCCTTCCAGGTCAGTCTAAACAATAGCACACAAGGTAAACAGATTAACCCTATAATGACTGAATTAGACCTTGAAAGCAATGCTCTCTCTAAGCTGTGGAGTCTTGTGAGCAAAAATTCTACTTTGTGAGCTACGGGCATTAAAGTTGTAAGCGAGCAATTAGGCTGCTGCATAAATTAGTTTGCTCTGGAGCCATCCTTCCTGAGCGAAGACAAAAATATGTGAGCTAGAGGCTAAAAAACTGTGAGCTAGCTCACACTAACTCAGCTTATAGGGAACACTGCTTGCAGCACATACATATTTCCAACAGGCTCCAGCTGGGGAACCTGGCTGTCTGGGGAGCAATGTTCCCTCTAAGCTGTGGAGTCTTGTGAGCAAAAATTCTACTTTGTGAGCTACTAGTATTAAAGTTGTGAGCGAGCGATTTGGCTACTGCATAAATTAGTTTGCTCTGGAGCCATCCTTCCTGAGCTAAGACAAAAATGTGTGAGCCAGAGGCTAAAAAACCGTGAGCTGGCTCACACTAACTCAGCTTAGAGGGAACACTGCTGGGGGAGGGGTGCAAGATCCAGCTCTACAGAAGCCTCTTGGGGCATCTGTGGGGGCAGCCAGCCAATCCAGCCGGCTTTCCTCCCTCCCTCCCATGGCAGAAGACCAGCTGGGCAGAGCAAGGGAGGTGTGTCCAGTACAGTGCAGTTTGGCTGGCCTCCACGAAGGCCATCCTTTCCCCGGGTTGGGAAGCGAATGCGCTGCCTCTGCATCCGTGATAGTGTGATACAGTAGTGAGGCAAGCAGAAGGGGGCTGGGTTGTGCCCCGTGCAAGCAGGGGCGGATGAAGGCTCACAGGTGCCCGAATCACTGACCAATCTTGGTGCCCCCCCTCCTTTCCACACTGACCCAGTACATTTTAGTTGTTGACTTGTCTGACCAGATCTACAATGCAGGTTGCAGCAATACAAAAATTTATTCATACGATGTAGGGTTGCCAAGTCGTTCTTTACTCACCGGTGGGGGAGCGTTCTCTCTGTCCGGGAGCTGTTGAGGTATGCGCTTCGCGCCGCCAGAACATCACAGGAAGTGACGCACGACGTACAGCATGTTGGGGGCGTGGCCCCAATCGTTGGAGGGAAAACCATAGAGTTTTCCCTCCAATGATTGGGGCCACGCCCCCAACGTGCTCTACGTGGTTGTGTCACTTCCTGTAACACACCCACGCTGCACTTCGGGGGGCGGGGTTCCCCCCGGGGCCCGATTCCGCGGCGGCGGAAATCGGGCCTCCAAAGCGGGGGTTTACCCGCCCCCACTTGGCAGCCCTAATACGATAACACAATATACTGTACAAACTAAACTTTTCACCCTTTCCCCAACTTTGTGGTGCCCCCTTTGGCCCGGGTGCCCTAAGCACGTGCTTCGTCTGCTTCATGGTTAGTCTGTCCCTGCGTGCAAGCCCCAGGACGCCTGGCCTGCCTGCCTGAGGGGACCAGCTGGACAGCTTGCCCCCCCCCCGGGGGGGGGGGGGAGGCCTGGGCCAACATGGGAACCAGCGGAGGCAGCAGGATCCATTGGCCCTCTGCTGCCGGAAACGGCCAGGCAAGGTTCCTCACGGGCCCGGGGCCTGCAGCCACCACGGAGCATGAGGGGAGCAGGCCTGAAGGGCAAGACAGGTCCGAGGCTTCCACCAAAGCAACCATGGCGCAGAGCGTCGACATCCGTGCAGCCAACGCCATCCCATACTCCCTGCTGAAGCAGGTATGGGGAGGGGCGGTGCCACGACAAGGCCTATGCAGGGGCAGGGCTTTGCAGCCAATCCCGAGGTGACCAGTGCAGGAAAGGTGGGGCCAGCTTGACAGACAGGACCAGGAGGCTAGGGAGAGAAAGAAGAGGCGGGATTTGAGGCAGGAGAGGGAAATAATGGTGGTCGGGACCAGGAAGGATAACTGCTGGGCACCCACGCTGTTGGGAGAGGTGCACCAGCTGAGAGGAGGCAGGCCGGATAAGAGCCCCGGACAGGCCGGATCTGTCCTGCAGGCTGTATGTTTGACACCACTGCTCTATGGTAACCATAGAGTTTCCCCCTTGAATGCTAGAGTGTAGCCACCCAACGGCCCCAGCATGATGACATCACTACTGCTGACGTCATTGCATCAGCAGCGTCCCCACAGGACGCTGTCGTTCAGGGGTGGGGCCTCCCCCGCTGGCCAGCTTGCTGGCAGCAGATTGGGCCCCTCGAAAATGAGGATCCCCTGGCCCCACCAGGGGGATGGCAATCCCAACACAGATGTGGCCTCCCTCCCTCCCCAAGCCTGCTTCTGGCAGCAGAGCACTACTGAGGGGGGTAGTGGTATGTCCTCTACTTCAGGAAGGGGCTGTGGCTCAGTGGTAGAACGTCTGCTTGCCATGCAGAAGGTTTCAGGTTCAGTCCCCGACCTCTCCACCTTAAAGGGTCAGGTGGCAAGTGATGTGAAGGACCTCGACCCAAGAAGCTGGAGATCCGCTGCCAGTCTGAGTGGACGATGTCGACCTTGATGGACCATTGGGGGGGGGGAAGGGCACTATAGAATCTGGGGCCTGGTAAGGCTATGCAGGCGCTGGGGCAGTCATAGTGATTTGGAGGCCCTGGGCAAAAGTCCAAGACGGGGACCCAGAATCACAGCCACCCCCCCACTGCCTCCTGGTCCCTCCCTGTACAGTCCAGGAAATGGAAGCCCTTGCCTTGTAGTAGTAGTAGTAGTAGTAGTAGTAATAATAATAATAATAATAATATCTTTCTATTTAATCGCTCCATCCTGCAGAGCTGCTGGCTCTGAGCGATTTACAGTTACACATATTCACACGGGACTAACAATGATTCATAGGGGTAAAGGAGGAAAAAATATAAATCTTTTCAATCTTGTACGCAGCAGTCGGGAACTGTCTCCAGAAGCCAGCTGCCCAAACTGGCTAGCCAAACCCTGAACGTGAGCATTGCTCTGTGGGGCTGGCCCAAGCCCCCCTGATGGGGAAGGTGCTAGAGATGGCAAAATCAGAGAGTTGGAAGGGGCCAGACAGGCCATCTAGCCCAACCCCCTGCTCAATGCAGGATCAGCCGAGAGCATCCCTGACAAGGGTTTGTCCAGCTGCTGCTTAAAGACTGCCCGTGAGGGGGAGCTCACCACCTCCCCAGGCAGCTGATCCCACTGTTGATCAACTCTTACTGTAAGAAAGTTTTCCCTAATGTCCAGCCGGTACCTTCCCGCCCTTAATTTAAACCCATTATTTCGAGTCCTCTCCTCTGCTGCCAACAGGAACAGTTCCCTGCCCTCCTCTAAGTGGCAGCCCTTCAAATACTTCAAGAGAGCAATTATGTCCCCCCCTCAACTCTTCTTCCCCAGTGGGAGCCTGTTAAGTCGGTTACGTAACAAAGAGTCAGAGAGTGATTTCAGCAAAAGATCAGCTTTATCCAGCAACTCGTAACTCAACTCCAAACAGATCAACATGAATAGTCCACTTTTAAACTCTCCCGGCTAATGTAGCCCCGCCTACTATACAAATACCAACCTATGAGGTTGCAGGGATAAAGTCCAATCACAATAGTTCCCGCTCTGGGAACTGGCTGCTGGTGATTGGTCGGCTCTTCCTGGGCTACCAATTACAATGGAAGGATTAGGATCCTAGCCCAGGATGAAAGCGTCACATGGTGATTCAATGAGTGAGTTCACATACGTACATTGTCAGATTGAATACACCACAGAGCCTGTTTGTTTTCTTCTCCCCCCCCCCCCATGGCAGGGGGTAGGGCCTATGTGCAGTCAGTGCCCTCCGGCCCCCACAGTATGGGGCGGCAGTCCCCGTTGCCCGTTTGCTAAGACCACCCCTGATAGGAGCAGGCAATCCTTCAAGTATCTCAGTGCAGAGCCAGCAGCTTGACCTGGGAGAGGAAACAACCAGTCAGTGGGGAGCTTTAAGCACCACTGTTTTACATGCAGTTGCCAGTCTCCAGGTGGGGCCTGGAGCTCTCCCAGAATCACAACTGATCACTAGACTACAGATATGCTCCCCTAAAGAAACTGGCTGCTTTGGAGGGTGTAGTGCCTGGCAAGACTATATAGGCAAGGCTACGTAGCGCCTGGCAAGGCTATATATACTCTCCTAAGGTCCCCAAAGGGAGCTGCGGTGGCTCAAGAGGTTAAGACGCTGAACTGCAGGCTGTGGAAAGTCAGTAGTTCAGCAGTTCGAGACCCGGGTGCCGCATGATGGAGTGAGCTCCCCTCTCTAGTTCCAGCTCCTGCCAACCTAGCAGTTCGAAAGCAAGAAACTGCAAGTAGATAAATAGGTTCCACTTCGGTGGGAAGGTAACAGCGTTCCGTGCGCCTTGGTGTTTAGTCATGCCGGCCACATGACCATGGAAACGTCTTCGGACAGCGCTGGCTCTTCGGCTTTGAAACGGAGATGAGCACCGCAACCCTAGAGTCGGACTCGACTGGCTTTCGAGCAAGGGAACCTTTACCTTTACCTTTAAGGTCCCCAAACTCTGCCCTCCCCATGCTCCACCCCAAAATCTACAGGAATTTCCCAAGCTGGACCTGGCAACCCTAGTTACAGTGCCTGTAGACAGCTACCCAAGCTAGCTGTCTTGTTGACGCATTCTGGACTAACTGAACTTCCTGTAATATCCTTAAGGGGCAGCCCCACAAAGAAAATGTAGCAGTAATCTAGCCCAGAGGTAACCACAGCATGGATGACTGTGGCCAGATCACGTTTCTCGAAGCAGCAGCAAAAGCCCAGAGAGCGGCAGCAAAACAGCAATCAGGATTAAAGGGTGGGGTGGGGAGAGCAATCATCCATGAGAAACAGAAAGAGCCAGAAACCGGCAGTAGGAGATCGATTCTGCTTAACCACCTAGTGAATGTTAACAGTGATGACTAAGTTACTGAATACATCCCTGCCACCTTTTCACTTAGCACATCTGAGGAAGTGGTGGGCACTTAAGAGTGATTTTATCCTGTGATCCAGGGGTTCCCAACATGGTACCCAGTGCTGCCACGGGGCCCATTTAGAAAGTGAATGTGGACAAAATCCACATAGATAAGTTCGATTGGGAGAATATATCGTGTGCTAAGTATCAAATTTTGCAATACATTTAAACTAAAGTGTATTTTGTGACATTCCCTGATATAGCATGTTTAAAACCCCCATTAGCGATCAGTACTAGCTCCAAATTGGCCACACCGCAATTCCAAACCAAAAACGCTCTCACTCAACCTTATTGTATCTCAATAAGGCAAAAAATAAAATAAATAGAAGACTGTTCTGAACCTGTCCGCACCGTATCTAATTCACTGTCTCTGTAACTGTTCTGATTTCATATTGACGAATAGTCTGTTCTCTGTTTCTTTGTAAAAAAACAATAAAAATTGTTTTTTAAAAAAAGAAAAGAAAGTGAATGGGACCAAATGGCATTCTGCCCCGCAGGGCATCTGATTGCCCGTTTGAGATCCGATTGTTTGTGCAGATTAAAATAACATTTCAGAGACCGGCTACCACAACAGTGTTGGTTCTATTCTCTCTCTAGCTCCTCTTTCCCAGTATGTCTTTTACATTTACTACTGTGATTGCCACAGTTGGGCTTCCTCTGTGTGTGTGGCTGCTTCTGCCCCCATGTGGCTATTTTGTGGCGCTGTCTATCACCCTGTGTCAGAATTCAAAAGCTGCCCACAGGCTCAAAAAGGTTAGGGACAGTTGCTGTAATGAATCAGCTAGCTCCTGGAACATTTTGAGCTTGTCAGAGATACTTTCTTATCACTTTTGTTCCTAATGCTCTGGGTTTTTTTGTGTGTGTTCCTAACTCTGTTTTTGTGGAGCTGCGGTGGCTCAAGTGGTTAAGATGCTGAACTGCAGGCTGAGGAAGGTCAGTAGTTCAGCAGTTCGAGACCCAAGTTGCCGCATGATGGAGTGAGCTCCCGTCTCTAGTTCCAGCTCCTGCCAACCTAGCAGTTCGAAAGCAAGAAATTGCAAGTAGATAAATAGGTACCACTTCGGTGGGAAGGTAACAGCGTTCCGTGCGCCTTGGAGTCTAGTCATGCCGGCCACATGACCACGGAAATGTCTTCGGACAGCGCTGGCTCTTCGGCTTTGAAATGGAGATGAGCACCGCAACCCTAGAGTCGGATTCGACTGGCTTTCGAGCAAGGAAACCTTAACTCTGTTTTAATACCATGAAACACCAAAAACAAACACACAATGAAACTATCCCAAAATGTTTTTATATACACATCTATTCCTAGCCTGCTTTCTTTCTTTTTCTTTTTAGTTTTGTGGTGACATCTGGTGGTCTGTTGTATTATTGACCCAACGGAGAGGGAATATTTTCATAGTTTCTACCCTCTATTCTAAGGATCCTTTGCTCCTAATGACTTAATGCTATTACTGGAGATAGGTATAAATAAGAAAACACACAGCCTTCATAATTAAGTCATCCTACAATGCAAACCACATATTTATGTTTTCCTATTTGTAGTCCATCCCATTTTCCTGGGACAGGGTACTGTTGCAATATTACAAACAAATGCTGCTAGCAAAAGTTTTCTCCATCTAAAGCCTCCAAAACTGCAGAACCAAGTCCTTAATGCCATGACAATGCATTTGTCATTTTGCTATGCAAAAGCTGCTCAGAGAACCAGGAAATTTGGACTCCTACAGTGCAGTGCTAATGGCTTAACTCTGCTTAAGACTCAGCTGGTTAGACCTAGTATTCCAAGGACCTCTATGAC